CCACCTTGACTGTCCAGGCTGATGTCCATCACCCCATGCTTGACCTTCATGTGCCGGCTCAGGTTGCCCTTCAGGTTGAACTTGCTGGAGCAGTAGGGACACTTGAAGGGCTTGCTCCCCGCGTGCAGGTGCATGTGGCCCAGCAGGTTGTACATGCGGTTGAAGGACTTCCCGCAGACCTACGGCAGCGTTCCCAGCGTCAGCGAGGGCTCTCCCGCTGCCACCCCCGGTAAGGGGGTCAGCAGCGCACACTCGCCCGTGGCGGCCAGTGCTGACGCCAGGACGTGGGGATTTGCGAGAGGAGCTCGCCAACGGGGACCAACTTCCAAGAGTAACGGGGCTGCTTCCTTCCCCCCTGCGGTGGGAGGCCCCAGGGATGCTGTGCTGGTACTGCTGGGAAGTCCAGCACACCTAGCGCTGGTCAGAGCGCGGTACTAATTGTCCTTCTCCATTAGCGGTGCCCACGCCCTGCCCGCAGCAGCAGCTCCCCGCTGCACAGCTCTGAGCAGACGCATCGGGACAAGCTGTTTGCCCGAGCGAACAGAGGGAGGCATCACAAAACTGCTTTCCTGCGACCGAGGACTCAACCCAGCCTGGCTGGGTTTCTCCAGGAGCACGGTGCCCAAGGCCCCCGCGTATCCCCCGCCCCCCCCCGGCCCCCCGCCGGTACCTTGCATTTGAATGGCTTCACCGGTGAGTGCACAATCATGTGGGTCTTGAGCGTCTGCTTCTGCACAAAGGTCTTGAAGCAGATGTGGCACTGGTAGGGACGGACGCTGGTGTGGATCAGCATGTGCCGCTTCATGTTGGCCTGCAGCGTGAACTCCCGCCCGCACACCTCGCACTTGAACTCCTTCACGCCCTGCAAGGGGTTCGCTTCACCGGTGAGTGCACAATCATGTGGGTCTTGAGCGTCTGCTTCTGCACAAAGGTCTTGAAGCAGATGTGGCACTGGTAGGGACGGACGCTGGTGTGGATCAGCATGTGCCGCTTCATGTTGGCCTGCAGCGTGAACTCCCGCCCGCACACCTCGCACTTGAACTCCTTCACGCCCTGCAAGGGGTTC